TGGAATCATACCTGAGCCCTGGAGAGAGCAGGGAGGGGAAGAAAGGGAAAGGAAGGGGATGGGAGGGGAGGAGAAGGGAAGCAGGACCTGTTGTCATGGACTCCCTGTGCGCAGGTGGCTATGTGGACAGAGTCTGAAAGAGGGCTGTCCTCTTCTTTCTTCATAACTGCCAAAACTCTTAACTTCAGAGACCAACTCTGCTTAACGGACAAGGAATGAACTGAAAAGCTGTCCTGTGGTTCAGCAATACCAGGGGCCTTGGGAAGCAGGCTGGGCAGGCCAGCAACGAGGGAGGCCAGGCGGCTGCGGGCCCCAGCCCCCATCTTGCGAGTGAGACGTGGCCATCACAGGTAGTACAGCAACTACTAATCCCGGAAACCGAACACTGCTGTGGTTGCCGCTGTCACTGCTGTGGACTCTACTGTTCTCACTGCTGTGGGACAGAAGCTGTTGATTAAAAAAGCTGGGCTGGGAGCATCTGATTGGTTAAACTTCCATCACACACTTGCACTTTAACTGCAAAGGAGGCTGGAAGGGGGCTGGGTAAAGGGGAAGCTAGGGAAGAAACTCCTGGATATCCTCTCACTTGCAATACATTATCTTGATTGTTTAAGCTTTCTTTTTTTTAAAATATATTTTATTGATTTTTCACAGAGAGGAAGAGAGAAGGATAGAGAGTTAGAAACATTGATGAAAGAGAATCATCGACCAGCTGCCTCCTGCACCCCCCCCCACTGGGGATGTGCCCACAACCAATGTACATGCCCTTGACCGAAATCGAACCTGGGACCTTTCAGTCTGCAGACCGATGCTCTACCACTGAGCCAAACCGACTTCGGCTGTTTAAGCTATCTTAAGAGGGTTTTATTATATAGCTGAAAACACCTTAACAGGCACAAGAGTATACATTACTCTTATATTCATAAAAGTAATACTTTTTTTTTTTAATGCCAAGGTATTGGGGATTCTGACCTTGGCTTCCTGAAGCCACAGAAACAATTTTCTCCCTCAAATCCGTTCCTTTGATATTTACTTTTATCTATTCATTGATATTCAGTTTATCTCTTGCCTCATATTACTCGTGGTTATGTAATTTGTACTGTATTCTCTCCCTGTCAAGACCATGTGGCACAGTGGCCATGACTCCAGCATTTGCACAAACCTTGACATTTGCGCTAGGCTTTCTCATTAGACCACAGTGGTTGATATATTTAACTTCTTCCCAAACAGGAGCCTTTGTGAAAACTAAGTACACAAGCCTCTCTTGGAGAGGGCCGTCTCATCAATATAGGCAAGGCAACATCACCTTCTAAAGAAAAGTCTACAGTGCCAAAGAGACTGGGTTATTCTTGGGAAAGGGCAGTGAGGCCAAAAGCTGGCACAGTTGAATGAGTGGGCTCTTCCTTCCAATTGGCCAGCCTGAAGCGGCTGAGGGACCTGAGTCAGGGCCACACAACATTGACCTCGTTCTGGCTGACCGTCTCCTTGGTAGCAGGGCAAACACCAGAACAGTCAAGTACAAGGAGAGAGGGAAGTTTCCCTAACTTACCTGGCTCTGTGGGTGAACTCTGCGAGCTGACATGAGTTCTGACCAGTCAACTCCTGGCTCCCAAAGGAAATCCTAACACAAAAGAATAACAGGAAACCTCTTTGGCATTGGTTGGCACAAACTTGTTGTCCTGGATATTCAGGACTCTCTTATCCAAAAGGTAAGCAAGGAACATAAACAATTGTGAGGCATTAGAAGTGGGTTCTTTCAGCAACACAGATAAATAAGGGACTCAGTCACAACTGACATCTTGAGTGACAAAAGGTGAATTACTCACAATAAGTAAGATGAGTATTTTGAAATTCTTTGGCACATAGGCTTAAAAAGGAGCAGGTTTATCTTTACAAAAAAACAAGAACAAAAAAAAACATGGCAGGTACCAACAGATCATGATTTCTTAAGGTTCCTTTGTAGAGAAGGTGGCACTGTGAGAGGCAACTGTTTAGCATGTACTTTGTAATGTACTGGTTCCACCAGCCAGGAGCTAATTGTCCCTGCAATAGTGATTGTCAACATTGACTGTACATGAGAATTACCTGGGAAGCTGTTACATGTCCCCAACCCAGGCTGATGCATCAGAGCCTCCCGGGGAGAGCCAGGCCTCAGCGTTTCCTAAACTTCTCCGGGTGATGCCACTGTGCACCCTCAGTTGAAAACCAGTTGACCCTGGAGTGGAACTTGCTTTCACCCTCCTCAGCCCTTGGATTCTCCCAGGGCACAGAGGCTTCTGATGTGCCAATAATGAGGACCAATTAGCATATGAGAAAGCCACTGACAGGCATGTTAAAGGCTTGAACAGGCCTGTTAGCATACAATATTTTTAACTTGTTCTGCTGAAGCCTCAAAGTCCACCAACCTTTTGATGAACTTCTTGCATTTATAACCTGCTGGAATTAGACCTCAACATCTTGGCTTATCACACCTCAGTCTGAAAGAAGCTATATAAATATTTTAGAATTTCGACAAATTTTTATATACAAGACGATTTAAGGGAAAATAAAGGAGACGATAAAAATCCTTACTAACAAACTTTACAATAATGCAAAGCTGCAATTTTTGTTTTCTTGCTGGCCTTAAGAGTATTTGACTAGTGGCAGTAAAGGTTATTCTTTACCTTTTACGTAATCTGCATAGATAGTAGAAATTTCAGGTCTCACCAGAATAACTTCTTTGCATTGTGTGAGTTTATCTCCTTCCGAAGTAATAATTTTGGTTTTAAAAAATAATATTTATATGTCTTTACCTTGAATACGGGATAAAACATTCTGGCTAAAGTGAGACCACATATACAATGGTGGTCCTATGAGATTATAATGGAGCTGAAAAATTCCTACTGCCCAGTGACCTCGTGATGTCAGGATGTAACAATGCAAAGCATTCCTCACCTGTTGTGTTCATGTTGGTGTAAATAAACTTGCCACACTGCTAGTCATGTAAAAATATAGCATATACAATCATGTATGGTATCTGCCAGTTGATAATGATAAACACTATGTTATTGGTTTATGTATTATACTAATAGAGGTCTGGTGCATGAATTCGTGCACTGGTGGGTTCCTTCGGCCTGGCCTGTGATTGAGGCCTATTGTGGGGCTGGCTTGCTGGGGGAGGGACCCCAGGAGGTTGGCCGGCTGGTTGGAGGGCCGGCTGGCTGGGGGGAGGGGTTGGGAGAGGTTGGCTGTGGGAGAGCAGTGATCACTGTGGGGGCAGCTCTTGCGATGAGCGTCTGGCCAGTGTGCATCATTGACTGGTCATTCCTGCCGTTCCATTCGTTCGGTCATAACTGTCATACAGATCCCCTTTCTCTCTCTTGGTAAGCTATCTCTAACCTTCAATTTAATGGATATATGTATCAGTAAACTGAAATGACATTTTAAAAAATGGTGTTTGACTCTTTCTGATGTCCTTAGAGTTCAGAAACAAATACTTTTCAGTGACCCTCCTTACTTTTCATAACAAAATAGTTATTAGCATAGATTCAATAAGAATCTGTCCTTTTTACCAAGATATAATTAGACAAATAGATTGTTCAAACAAAGCCATACCCAGAGGGCTATATTTGAGAACAATTGTCTTAGTCAGGTATAAGAAGTCCATATTGAAGAACAAAGGGTTCACTTCATCTGTGGAGTTAGTGCCAACAAAACCCTCCCCCACAACTGGCCTGGTGCCAACCTCTAGGTCCCGATCTGATTGGTGGTGAGGAAGGTCATTACTGGAAAGCTGAGAATCTTAGCAAATTTTGCAGACCTCAAGAAGGGAGAAATTGCTGAAACCAGTTTGGCTCAGTGGATAGAGCATCGGTCTGTGGACTGAAAGGTCCCAGGTTCGATTCTGGTCAAGGGCATGTACATTGGTTGCGGGAACATCCCTGGGGTGCAGGAAGCAGCTGGTCGAAGTTTCTCTCTCATTAATGTTTCTAACTCTCTATCCCTCTCTCTTCCTCCCTGTAAAAAAAAAAAAAAAAAAAAAAAAAAAAAATCAATAAAATATATGGGGGGGGGGGGGGGGAAAGGGAGAAATTTACCCCAAGTCAGTGATACTGAAGGGGAAATCTGGTGGAAATATTTTCTTGGGCTTAGTCCCATGGCCTTGGAATAAGGGAGCAAATAATCGAGGCTGTTAAAAGTCTAAAACCCCTTACGAAAGTTTCTGAAGAGAGGGTAATTTTTTGGTTTAATTAATTTCTCAGTAATCTAAGGCTCTAGTTTTGAAGAGAAAACTTGAGGCCTACCTATGTGATTAAAATGCTGTGTGTGTGTAAATAATCAGGGCAAACCTAACAAGATCAGTCTTCTTGTGATCAAGAAAAAATATTCTAAATATCCTTCTAGAAATGACAATCAATAAATCTTTGTTGACTGACTTATATTCAACTTCTTTTAATTATCTTTGACCTAAAGGAGTGCCCTGGAAGGACAGACAGGTTAGACTAAAAATCCTAAAGAATCCCTTAATAACATTATATAATTAAAAAAAAAAAACTAGCATGCAAACTAACAGAAAATGTACTTTATTTACTTATAACATCTTGTAAACAATCACACTGTGCACTTTTAATTCAATAATAATGTTTTTTTTCCCATGGATTTATAGCAAACTCTATATAAATTCAACGAGTTAATACAAGAGTACAGATGAATATGGTAGAATAATTTCTGAAAATGTTAAATTACAGCACTTGACCAAAGACATAACTATCTGTACCATAAAAATTTACATGCCACAAAACATTAATTTATAATTTTAAATATGCCATAAAACATTTATAAAAAGCATTAACATTAATTTTATTATAAACCAGTGAATTACTCAGAAGAATATTTATTAAAACTTAGTAGAAATCAGTAAATATTGCAGCTGAGGTAAAAACTTATAAGTAAACAAAACTATCATTTATAAGGGCCAAAAAGTAAATGGAAGGGCACACGATACTTTCTGACGACTGTGTCTACTCCTTGATGTTTTGAAGCAGCTTCAGCAGATGTGACTCAATAACCTGTTGAACTGGAAGAGATAGGTGATTAAGACCATAGCATGTTGATTTAACATTTTTTAAAAGAATTATCAAATTCAACTTAACATCCCAAACTTTTTCCTAAAATAAAGTTATTTCTAAGTAGTTACTTAAATACACTTAACATTTAGTTTCACTGATTTAGTGATTGACCAAATCACTGAATTTTTCAGTTCTTGGTTTTTAAATTTTGAAACCGAAGGAGAGTTCAGAATATAAGGTTGTTCTGAGGAACAGAAAAAGGCAACTATAAGAGCATTTTATAGTTTGCTATAAAGATATCAAACACATCTTGCAAATAGATGTGTACTTATCTTCCAGCAGCTAATTATTTAGGTTGATAAAAAATAATAGTAACAAGTTCATTTCTAGACTCTGTAGGGATTTGTTGATTTCGGCCACAGTTAAAAGTACATGTCAGCAGTCAGGGTAACATTCAATGTTCTACGACTACAGTAATGAAAATGGTGTGTGGTATTTACAGAGCTTTACTAAAATGGAAGCTTAGCATTCTAAAATACTTACCACTTCTATACCCCAGGGCTACAGCCAAGTCCATAGAATTATATCCAGAGTCGGTTTCTATTGTTGGGTCAGCTCCATTTTCTACACCAAAATAGAAAAATCTACTTAAATGAAAATGTGGATATGTTTGTCTATTACTGACTCACGTGCAAATAGCAAGACAGATTTTCAGCAAATTTAGAGAGCATCTGTAGGATGGCCTGACAAAAACCAGAGCACATGGACAGCACAGAATTCACTTTGGTGGGCCAAAGAGAAGACCCTTCAAACCAATGAGCATCCTCTAGAACAGCAGAAACTCACCAACAACCAGAGACAGAAGTTACGCACAAAGATTGTGCAAACAGAGAAAACAAGCATGGATTCACACATGATTCCAGAGGAAAGCAACCAGGACAGATGCTCCAATTGTGGGCCTGCTGTGTGATGGAGCTGCTTCTCACACGGGCAATGCTCTGGTAGCAGGTGCACCACAGTGAACAGCAGCAGGATGACTGCACTTAACAGTAATTAATGATTTTGCTGAGTAACACCACAGGAGGCCAAGTCAGCCCTGGCTGAGTAGCTCAGTTGGTTAGACTGAGCATTGTCCTGCTACACCAACGTTGCAGGTTCAATCTTCGGTCAGGACACATATGAGAATCAATCAATGGATGCCTCAATAACATATGAGAATCAATCAATGGATGCCTCAACAACAAATCAATGTCTCTTTCTCTCTCTCCCCTTCCCCCCCTCCACCCTCTAAAAAACATTAAAAAGTAAAATAAAGTTCTCATGGCATTTTCTAAATATTTTCATTTTTATCTGCTTACCTAAGAGCATTTTTACACATTTCACATGATTTCCATGTACAGCATAAAGTAAAGGTGTGCCTCCATTCTACAAAAGAAAAAGGTGATTTCGTTTTCTAAGGTGAGCAAGATTTGAAAAATTTAATGCTGCTGTGAGAAGTTTTATGAAGCAATGGGCATGTAAATGTAGTTTAAGGTAATTTTAATATTTTGTGAAGAATACTTAAATCAGAATTAGCAACAGAGTTTATGTTATTAACTTTTTCTTCCAGGTGTTTAATTATGTAAATGAATTATTCTTCCAAGTATTTAATAAACTTTATTATGTCTCCCCAAACCATACAAATCCTAGAGTTTGTTATACTAATTTAAAAATCAGTGTTACAGACTCACCCAATCGTATTCATTTACATCAACTCCACAATCAAGCAGCATTTTGACAATATCGGTGTAGCCTTTACTGCACGCCAGAGACAGTGCACTTTCGCGACCTTTTCCTAAAAGCTGGGGATCAGCACCCTGGAGATACAAGACTCTTCAATTCATTTAAACAAGAATACGGTTGTTTCTGTCAATCATAATTACAGTTCAACACTTAGGTCGGGTAATGTCCTGGGGTTAATAAAGAGAAAATGCAAACTTCTATTCATGGACGCTCTTGTTATCAAGGTTGTCTGGATGCTTCTATCTCAACCCTAACTATGCTTTCACCCTGGAGTCAAATGACATCTCCTCTATGAAGCTTCTCCTACAGGCTGACAGTACTTTTGTTCCCCTTCCACTTAGAGGGGCAGGGCTTTAAGTGATCTCTCCCTGTTTCATGTATGACTAGTCTTGCCTACCCAACTAGATCCACGTTCCACAAGAATGTGATAAGCATTTAAAAACTGTTTGGATCCTCTACCATTATACCTAGTTGGCTGGAGATACCAAAACTTTACTAAAAACTTAACTGAACTTAAGTAACTGTACATATACATTTTCTGAGGCATTTTCCTTACATTCTGAAGTAGAAACTCTACCACAGCTATTTGCCCGTGTGCTGCAGCCCACATCAGAGGAGTAAATCCTTCTTCATCCGTGTGATTGATAACATTTTCTATTTAAAAGAAAAGCAATTTTTGTGATCTAATTTAACAACCACATATTAATATCACTATGAAAATACTGGCATTCTAAAAAGTTGGTTATGTTACTCAATGAGGATCACTTTGTGCTGATTTTTGTTCACTGAAATCCTGTTATATGTTGTAATTTGCACTCTGACTGTATTAAAATGTGCCTCCATGTATACAATATGTTATTTAAGGTATAACATATATACACGACATATATAATGTTAGGTACAAGGTAATCCACAGAATACTGGGCTGGTAATTAAGAGAACAGAGTTTGAATCCTGCCTGTGTCACTTTCTAAAAGTGTTATTCTGAGCAGGTCACTTAATTTCTCCAATACACAGACCAATACCTTACTTATCTCAATGTGTATATAATAGTCCTTAGCATTACATAAATATATACTATTATAAAAACTCCAAAATCGTATTAAAGCTATCTTCTAGTCTATAACTATCGTTGCTGCATTTGAATTTCATTCATTCTTGGTGGTTTGCTAAAATAATATGTGAAGACTAAATACTGTGAAAGACAGTACATGTAATTCTGCTTTGAAACCCCTTTTTCCACCTAGATTCAGTCTACTAGTTATAAAGGCAAGTTTTCCCTCTAAATTTATTAATAGCTTGAGGATGAAATCTTCAAATATTTATAAACAAAGAGAAACATAATGATGAAGTAAGTCTTTCTTATAAAAGATTGATGATTTAAAAAATAAACATCTTTTATCATGCACACTGTGTTCAATCGATAAAGTTGGGACAACTGTTTAACTTCTGGGAAAATGAAAATAAATGTAAAGCTTGATCTTTATCTCATTACACTAAAACATATTTCATATGTGTCAAAAATTGATATGTAAAGAGAAAACCACAGAAGTTCTAGATAAGACATGAATGAATTTATTTATAATTTTAGAGTACGAAATCCTTTCTAGCAGGACATAAAACTGAGAAGTCACAAAGAAAAAAATAAATTTACTGCTTAAAAAGTATTTTTATTCAAATGGTGTTTGTTCAAAAAATACCAAAGTCAAAGAAAAAGTGACAAACTGGAAAAATATGTAACATAAACAACAAAAAGCAAATTTCTTTAATTTTTATAAGGGTTCACAGAAATAAACACAAAAGGAAATTCAAATATACCACAATTTAAAAAATATAAACAAAACCAATATGAGATGCTATTTTTTAGATTAATCTGATAATATCTTATTTCATCGAGGGTATGAGCAAATAGAAATTCCAACTCTGGTGTGAAGATAAGACAAACATATGGCAATAAATAGAAAAATTCATATACCTTTTAACCTAGCAAACATTCTTGAAATTTACCCATGGATATACTTAAAAAGAATGCCAACAACATTGTTACATAATAACAACAAACAGAATCAACCACCACCAGGGGGACTAGTTAAAAAATGAAAAACAAGGAATATGTATGTGCAATACAATGCAAAATCTGGACCCACAAAAAGAATAAAATAGATCTTATGTGCTTATATGGAAAGATTTCCAAAATTTTAAGTGACAAATAAATGACAGTATTTTTCCTCTAGTATTAATAAGAAAAAGCACATACTCATTCTCACATACAACTCCGAATATAAATGGAAATGTTTTTTAAAAGTATAAGAAAATTATATTTGCTTTTGGGGAAAAGGCCAGGCTGGTAAGAGAAGCTATAACTTTTATACATTAGAATACTTAAAAAAATATTATATGCCTGGTAAGATTATACACCATTTTTTAAATATTTATACTTTCCTGTATAAAAATAAAAAATAACAACTCTAATAAATCCTATTAAATTTGTTTTAAATATATTTTAACAAATATGCTATTACCTTGTTCAATACGAGTAGCCAGGATGAGCATCTCTCCCTGAGCAGCTAACTGGTGAACAGATAAAGCTGAAACAATACCATAAAAAGCTTCATGTATATATGTAGGGTACACTTTCATAATCTCATTGCTTATGTTTGTGCAGCAATTTTCTTTCCCACATCAAAATCTATCATTTTATTAATTTAAAAAGTCTAACTAAAATATACCTTAACCTAGCTGGTTTGGATCAGTGAATAGAGTGTCCAACTGAGGACCAAAGGGTCCCAGGTTGATTCTAGTCAAAGGCATATACCTTGGCTGCAGGCTCCTCTCTTGCACAGGCCCGGGTCAGGGCTTGTGCAGGAGGCAATCTATTGATAGGTTTCTCTCTGTCTTTCCTTTCTCTTCCACTCTCCCTAAAAATCAATGGAAAAATATCCTCAGGTGAGGATTAATAAAATATACCCTAACACTGTCATTCTGCATCTGAGGATTAACTCTTTTAAGATAATTCTGACATCTGCAAAGTGTTATTAATTATCAATAAATATGCATATTGTTATCATTAATTACTAACAGTGCAGATTGTTACTGACTTTATCAATCAAAGAAATGGCTTAGGCACTTAATTTTTTAAATGGCATCTCTTTTCCAAACTTATAAGTAAGTTGGATCACTGAAACTAGTTTGGCTCAGTGGATAGAGCGTCTACCTGCGGACTGAAAGGTCCCAGGTTCAATTCCCGTCAAGGGCATGTACCTTGGTTGCGGGCACATCCTCAGTAGGGGGTGTGCAAGAGGCAGCTGATCAATGTTTCTCTCTCATCAATGTTCCTAACTCTCTATCCCTCTCTTCCTCTCTGTAAAAAGTCAATAAAATATATTAAAAAAAAGAAAAGAAAGTTGGATCTAACAAAGACACACCTTTTGTCTTTTCATTGATTCAACCCACTGAAGTCCCAAACATCATTATTTCAAGATTCCATGGGTTTTTCTTAACTTTAGGAGGTGGTAATTGACAGCTGAACTTGGGAGTAAATTCTTGAGTGCAGACCTAGTTGTGGTGAATTTGGTATGTGTCCTTAGATAACTGATAAAAGTTTTGTCTGTAACATGAGGCACATGTAATTTTGAGCTCAAAAATTCTATGGTTGGAATATTTTAAGACAATCTCTTTATTTTAAACAAAATCAAGTAGGCACTGTTCTAGGAGAGTTCATATTAAAAATTAGTATCACTCGACCTTGACTGCAGAGGTATGACTGGGTGACCTTAATACAGAAAGAAAGCAATTGGGAGGCACATGCAAGTAAAACAGAAATGGCCAATAGGTGGAGTAAGTCACATGCTACAGCATGCGATTCAAAATCAGGAGAAATCTAATATCGCCAAAGTAAAGATATATATGTTTTACCATACATTAGGATACAGATGCATTTACATTATATTCTCACATATAGTTTCTAACATCAAATTGCTAACTGGTTTTCTCTCATTAATTTACCCATACTATACAGAATATAGTTTATATAGAAAAGTTTCATTTTATTTCTTCTAAAATAAATATACATTATTTTTAAAAAATTATGGATTCAAAGTATTTTTTAAACGATAGTTTCATATTTACATTATATTCAAATGAAAAATTACAGTAGAAATCATTCAGATTTTACTACAAATAACTCATTGGTCAGTAATCTAGTTTACAAGCACAGTATGAAGCCTGGCACTCCAAAAACACAAAAACAATCACAATATCTTACTTCATACAAAGTTGAGACTAACTCATTGTTTTTATAGTAGACTATAAAGGTTTTAAGAATATTTTAATCTGTATTTGTTTTAAACATAGAAACATAAATTATGAACTATTTGAATATGCAGTAATATGTGAAAAAGTTTTAAATTACTAAAACTATGAGCACATCACTTCAGCTTTCCAAAGTGAAATATGCACTTAATGAAAATATGTTTCAAAGCCAAACTGTTGAAACCATTATATTAGGAACAAGAAGAGTTGAATACATCAATGGGAACTACTTACAATTTGCTAACAAAGGTGTGGTTGAGACCTCATTTCCTCTGTGCTTGTTGGTTAAGGTGGTTGACTGTTTTATGGGTGAGAAGTGCTTTGTTGTAGAGGGAGTGTAGACATGCCTTACTTGGATTCCCGGGGAAGGAGATGTATGGATATTGCATTCAGCTAAGTAAAATAAATTTAAACACATTAAAACAATATTGAAATGACAAAGCATTTCTAAGTTCTATGTCAATGTTAACATTAAAAACGAAAGACATGAAGTATATCTTCAACTGTTTCTCAAATGATATTAAATTATTTTTGCTTCATAAAGTCTGTACTACAGAGTGAATGTTTCAGAAAAATTTTTATTAATGTTGAGTAATTTATTCTTGAGATAGTGTTTTTATTCAATAGCTTGTTGTAAAGTAAATCTATAATATGATGACAGATTTCATTAAATTAAAACACAGGAAGCTAATGCTAATCAAATATTCATGGAATAGGGAATATTAAGCTAATTCACTTGTAAAATACACCAATAATGTTTTTCTCCTATGATTTAAAAAAGAATAATAGGAACTTTATTAGATAATTTCTAAATAAACAAAGGTTAAGCAAGAAATTAAAAAACTCATCATATACTTATGGACATTATACAACATGAAGTCATTTAATTTTCTGAGATTCTAGAAAATATTAAAAGATGACTTCCAAAATTTCTTCCTAAATTCAAAATCTCATGATCAGAAAGGAATGAAAAAACAAAAACAAAAAACAACACACTCTAAATAAACAAAAACAAAACAAATGCAGATATTTATACCATAACTTTTAACCTTTAAATAGGACAGATGCCACCTCCAGGTCCGAGTTAACCTGATCTTGAATATTTTTACTATCCTCTTCATTTAAGGACTTCACAAATCGAGAACACACGTTCATATCAAATCGGTTAGGCAATATGAATTTCATCCCCATTGCAACACCCTGAGCTGATCCTTCTTGTGCATTGGAGTCCAGCTGATGTTCTATTTTAATGTCTGGCATGCCAGTGAGACTGTAACTGCTGGGACACTCTTCCACTATCAGCTGGGCTCCAAGATCCAGATTTGCTGATGTGGCCATGATTTCAACTGTAGTTTCAATAATTAAAACATTTCTTCATAATTTCTCTTGGTTTTTTAAAGAGTGTCATCCAGTGTATTCTTGAAATCTGGGTATAAAAAACCTGAAAGAAATTAAAAGTCTTATATTAATTTAGGTAAAAGTGCATAAGATAATCATTTTCAATCAAGTATGCAAACAATACTCTTAAAAATACCTATAAGAGAAAGCATACAATGTTCATAGGTAGAGAACCCTGGATATAAATCCAAGCTCTGCCATTTATTAGCTGAGTGAACCTGTATATTACTCAGCCTCTCGAAGTCTCAGCTTCACTTGTAAAATGGAGATACCACCACTAACCTCACAGGATCCTGGAAGACCAAATGAAATAAGTAACATTTCACCTTCATCACTGAATTTCAACAAATTTTAATTACTTTTCTCCCCTTTCCTATTCCTGAATATTGCCAAATGGATAAAAGATCAGGCTATAAGAAAAAATAAACTTTCATGTGAAAACTTTAACCTCTCATTTTAGGTTCATTTTTTAGCATGCTATGTTTGTAAGTGGCCTCAATTTGAATTTAGGAGAGCATTCATGTTTGTACTCAAGTCTATTGGCATCTACGATTCCTGCATAGTGAAAGACTTTACAAAGCTTTGGTTATGATGAACTGAAGATATATTTCTTTATAAGTTTTTGTTCAAATCACATGTTACCAAATTAATATAGATTTTTATGAAAATAAAGTGTGGAAGTTATAGATTGGCTTCCTTTGCTTTAGCATCTCTAAAACATGAGGGTCAAAGGAGAGTTTTTGGATCTCAATCTTTGTAGTAAGTATTAAGAATACTTTTTTTTTTTTTTTCAAATATAGGTCATCAAGAGATGAACTAAAAAAAAATGCTGACTCTCAATGAATAGATTATAAGCACACCATTTATTATTATTTCAAAATTAGCTTTTAGTAATCATTGACACTTCCCTATGGACTTTAATATCATCTTAAGAGAAAATTCACTATTTTATCTAAAATTGGTTCTAAAAAAAAAAAGAACTCCAAGATATAGAATTGTCGCAGATTATAATCACTGAGACACAAAAACAATAACATCAAATAAATTATTTCATGTTAGATTTTCCTGCCTCTTAGAATTTTGAGAGGGTGCAGGGTGTTTAAAACGGAAGACTGCCTTAGGATCACAGTGAAGCAGAGGTTGGTAAACTATACATTTATTGATAAACATTCTCCAAGATTGATCCTTATAACAATCCATCGAGTAGTCAGAGCAAGTAGTCATTACATCCACCACAGAGAGGAATGAGGGACCTAGCCAGCTCTCCTGACTCCATTACACTGTCCATTAAAATAAAGCAGCACTAAACTAATCCAAAACTTCCAAGACAGAAAGAGCTGAAGAAATAACACATTGTAATAATAATAAAGAAAATAAAAAAAGAAAGTAACAGATAACAAAGTCAGTGTCCTTCAGCAGAAGGAAACCAGAGCAGAACATAAGAATGAATGGTGTTTCTTAGGTGAGAGCCAGCCCTACAGACTCTTACCCTAAGTGCAACTCCCCTGAGCTCCCTCAGCACCCTGCATGTATTTCTATGTTAGCATTTATCATTCTCTGGAAAATTTCCACTTCAACTCCCCCAAACTGAAAACGCCTCTAGGATGGGGACTACTCTGACTAATCTTTGCACACTAAACAGTGCTTGGTCCTATCAGGGACTCCATAACATCTTCATATTCTTTTCTATCCCGAAATGACCCTGCATTAGGCTCAACAAACATTTGCTGATGACATCTGGTGTCCCATTCCCAACATCACTACTAGCTCTAGCTGTACAACCCTGGACAGACAAATCATGCCAAGTCTTCTGAGGCTCGTTTTATTCGTCTATAAAACAAAAATGATAGAAATAAACAGGTCGAATAGCCTTTCTAGCTCTACACGCCTCCCATGTCATAAATCAGGGCTTATAGAAGCAACTGGGGGCCTTGGAAGGAAGGAGTGCCAATGTACTTGGGGGAGGAAGGAGCAGAAATGGGACGCTTATCTTGGCACTGCTCTGGAGAGGAGAAGCAAAGTGGAATGGTTAGGCCAAAATTTTGAATTGTAGGAAGGGGAGAAAAAAAAAAAAAGGAGATGATCGGTAAGAGCAGGCGGTGAGAAAAACAGGTCAGGCCAAGGATAGCTGAGATCACCTCCATCCACCAGAGCGCAGGGAGGGAGGGAGGGAGAGGGAGCCTAACGCGATCAAGTGGGCGGCGGCCCGGTCCCCAGGGGACCGAACAACAGGTGCCCGGTCCTCCCCAATCCCGGCACCGCCCTACAAGGAAAGGCGAGCGCTGTGAAAACGAATGGTGCCGCACAGGCGACAGGTGTCCCGGCGCCCGCTGCAGGGAGACTGGTGGGGAGGGAAGCCGGCTCCGCCCGGGAACGCCGCGGCGCGGCCGGGGGCGGGCGGGGCGCCCTGGCTCACCCGCGGCGGGCGGGTCCGGGGGACGCGGGCCCGGGGCCCGCCGGCTGGGAGCGCAGGGCCTCGCGACCACCTTCGACAGCCCACAGCGAGCGGGGCCTTCCCATCTGCGGCCACAGGTTCCCTCCAGGCCCGCCAGCCCCGGCTTGTTTTGACCGCGACGTCACTTCCGCGATGTCTTCTTTCGCTTCTCTGGGCGAACACCGCGCCGCCGCAGCCAGGCGGCCGGGAGGCTCGCCAGGTCGGTCCTCTCCCGCCGCCGCGCCGCGCGGGCCCCCGGGCGCCCGGGCGCTACAGGGACGGAGTCATCCCAGGGGGACACTCTGAGTGACAGGAGCAGAGCCCAGTCTCCCCCTTGGGCCACGCCCTCCAGAAAGCCCCACCCACACTCACGCCCCGCCCACCTTACCCGCCCCGCCCCCGCGACACCCGCGCGGCGAGAGTCCGCGGAGCCCGAGCAGTTACGTCATCAACAGGCGACGGGCCCGGCCTTTCCATTCGCCGGGTTCCTGGGTGACTTCTGAGGGCCCATGTGGCCGGTTCCTGGTGATTCTGGGCTGTCCCGGGAGGGGTCTGGCGGGGTCCGGGAAAGTCTCCTGAAGTCCGGGCGTTTCGGCGGACCCTCGGAGCCCATTGGAGGTAGGTAAAGGCGGCTCCCGATGAGGGTAGCTCAGACCCACGCCGGCTCTGCCTTGCCATCTGGCGTGCTCCTCTCTGGGCTCCCCAGTCTCCTCCGCTGGTTACTTCCTAACCAGCCCAGGAGGATCCCCTCAATTTCTCTTGGACACAGATTGTGTCCTTTACGATCACATCCCCATTGCACTGCTCGCTGTGACTCGTCCCCGGAGTAATCCGCATCTTCTAATCGCAAGTCTGTGCTTAGGAGGTACCCTCGGTTTCTAATACTCCCTCCTCCGCCCAGTCTGGTTTAATATCAACCAGTCATTCAAAGCCCAGCGGAAACGCACACTTTGGATCTTTCTGGGAGCCACCCAGATCTCACATCACTTAACGGCTTTTGCACTGCGTCGTGGTCCCTCCTCCTCCCCTGCTGTCAGTGTGTTCTCACTAATCAGGCAAACCACTGCTCCTGCTCCTCAGTTTCCCGTAATGTTAAATTCTTATGTGCTCTTCTGCTTATACACTAGTATGGGGCAAAGTCCTGCGGGCTAGATCAGGCCAGGTGCTTGTTTTTGGGTAGTCAGTGAGCCAAGCATGATTTTTGCAGATGAACATTTGCAGTCTGTTTGATGATAGGAAACACTGACTTTGAAACTGGAGTGAGTGAAATAATCTCCTCCCTCCTCCAAATCATTTTCATTCATAAATTAAAAAAAAAAAAAATTGTAGTCATCACTATTTTGGGTGTTTCATTGGAAATTTTATTTTTTACTCTATAAGTAACTACACGAATACTCTCTGTTTTCCTGTTGGCCCACAAAGCCTGAAGTATTTATCACCTGGCCCTTTACAGAAAAAGTTTGTCAACTCCTCTTCTTTTTTTTTATTTTTTTATTTTATTTTTTTATTTTTTATTTTTTTATTAAATTATCTCTGTACATATACCAAGGCTCCACCCCTCCATACATACCCTCCCTCCCCAGAGTTTTGTGTCCATTGGTTGTACTTATATGCATGTATACAAGTCCTTCGGTTGATCTCTTATCTTCCTCGGCTCTCCCTACCCTCCCCGCGGTAATTTGACAGTCTGCTTGGTCAACTCCTTCTATAACAACGTTCATCTTATAGTTCCCACTTGTGATTTTAATTTTGTGTCTTCCCATGGAACCCAGAACAATGCATCCTTTCCTTCATTCTACAAACGTTCTTTGTAGTTCGATATCTTTGATGGCCATTTGGAAGATGGACGAGGGAGTTAGAAGGACCTGATGTTGCACTATTAGTAGATGAGAAGATCTGAATTAGGGCAGTGGAACTAATTAGGTGGAGTGAACGTGATGAAGTTTAATTTGGGAGGTAAAGTCAGCAGATCTTTTTGGATGTTAGAAGTGAGAAGGAAGAGACAAGTTAAGACTGATTCCAGATTCCTAGCTGGTGCAAATCACAAGCTGAAATGGAGAATATTCAAGTGTGAGGGTACAGACCACGTCTTTCAATCATCCTTGTATCCCTAGTGCCTAGAACAGTGTCTTATACATGGTAAGTACTTGAATGAACAGAAAAGTTTTTCCCCTTTTTAATCACATTACCATGTTTCATCAAAACAGCCTTTAAAATGTTACACTTATAGATTTTGGTGTAACTACTGCACTATATTCGGGCTTTCTGGGATAGTTGATGAGTTGTACCATTTGAATCATTCACCTCTTGCAAATTGAATAATAGTCTGGAAAGACATTTGGCCTTAATTACATGTCAGTTGTAAGTTTCATTCTGTTCTCTCACTTTATTTTTATTTTATTTTATTTTTTTAAAATATATTTTATTGATTTTGTACAGAGAGAAAGGGAGAGAGATACAGAGTTAGAAACATCGATGAGAGAGAGTCATCGATCAGCTGCCTCTTGCACACCCCCTACTGGGGATATTGCCCGCAACCAAGGTACATGCCCTTGACCAGAATCAAACCCGGGACCCTTCAGTCCCCAAGCCGACGCTCTATCCACTGAGCCAAACCGGTTTCAGCTGTTCTCTCACTTTAATTTGGATTTAATTCCAGAATTGCTTTATTCTTGTTTTCTTATTGTTTAAGTTATCTTAAAAATTAATTAATTTAATTTTGAGTTTCTACATCAGAATATTATCTTCTTGATTTATTTTCTTTTAAGCCTTTAAACTTAATTTTAAGCTCCCACATTAGAATGTTAGTTTTGTTTTCTTTTCTTTGTTGGATTTTAGGCTTTCAGGAAGTCAATCCCTGGCTTCTTAAAGATTAAATTTTATCCTAATTTAATTCCAGACAACTTTTATATTTGCAGTTTCACCTTCAGTAAATGAACATTCTAAGCCATAATGTTTCTCTCTGCTTTGGCTACTGGATGGCTAAACTAGATTTATTCCCAAGTGTTATAAATTGGTCAGTTAGGTATGAGGATATTTGTATGTATCTGTTCTAGGCACTAGGGATAAACGATGATTGAAAGACGTGGTCTGTACCCTCACACTTGAATATTCTGTGTATAACTGAGTTGGATAGTGTAATATGGTAGCCCTATTTGTATTCTTCCTTCTTCCTTTAGATTATTCTTCTGTGTTATAAAATGGTTTACTGATCACTAAACTTCTACACAGCCTTTTGAAAGGATGCAGAATGAAAATCACAGCTATATATACACACAGGTTTATGAGTAACATGTATATAAAATATTTTCTTTTTCAGACATAAGGCAGAGTCACTAAAATTATTTCTAACATCAGTTTCAGACTACTTTTGGATAAAAGTAATTGTATGAAATTATGGCTGGTTATAAGCCTGTAGCTATTCAGACATATCCTATACTTGGTGAAAAAATCACCCAGGATACACTATACTGGAACAACTATAAGGTAAGTATTTATGCCAATTTCTCCAGCATGTGTTATACTTTGGATACTTTAGTTGAGCATTAATAACTAAAAACAGTATCAGTAGCTTATAGTTTGGGCAGAAAATTTAATATTAGATATTTTCTTGGGATTTTATATAAATTGCTGCCTAATCATTTTAATCATCCAAGTGCCTAGTACAAAATAGATGATTAATCAGTGACAAATGAATTAAATTTTAGAATTTGAATCTCATATGCAAGAAGTTTTTTTTTGCTTTAATCTAAGGAGGAACTGATGTAAAAATAATTCTTCTTAGTTATAAAGACTTAAATAGATATTATCGGTTTTAACTCTGTGAATGCTGAATACTGTAATTGTTAATACTCTGTATTATTTTTTTATTAAGACCCCTGTTCAGATCAAGGAGTTTGGTGCAGTGTCAAAAGTAGACTTTTCTCCGCAGCCTCCATATAATTACGCTGTCACAGCTTCTTCAAGGGTAAATATAACATTGCATTTATTTTTCTATTTATAGTTTATATTTACTACTAATTGTGAGCCATCTGGTAAAATACCATGTTTTCTTTCTTGTAGATTCACATTTATGGGCGATACTCCCAGGAACCTATAAAAACGTTTTCCCGATTTAAAGACACAGCTTACTGCGCTACTTATCGGCAGGATGGTAGATTGCTTGTGGCTGGCAGTGAAGATGGTGGAGTTCAGCTTTTTGATATAACGGGAAGGGCTCCCCTCCGGCAGTTTGAAGGCCATACTAAGTAAGAGACAGTTAAAAAAATATTTTTTAATTGAGGTATAATTTACATACAACATTATATTTGATATTTGTATATATTGCAAAATTGTCACAAGGCTAATTCATTTTTTTTTTTACCATACAGTTTTAGACAGGTGCTTTTTATGTATTCTTTTTTTTGTAAATTCTGTTTCCTGGGCTTTGAATAAAAACACAGAGATTATGTATCTTTAAATACTTAATTTCTTGGTTGTTGTAAAATAGTCTGTTTCCTGCTTCAGTCCTAAGGTGAAGTTTGATGGGGCTTATGAATTCCCTAGAATCAATCACATGTGACATTTTAGGAAAAGGATGTTTATCTAGGGAGACATTCTATAGTGTTCATTAACTTCTCATGAGATCTGTGACCCAATTGTGATTATAAACCACTGATTGAAAGGCAACCTCACAACTATTAATAAGAACTTTATAAGCCTGAACTGTGTTAGATGTTCTCATTTTGAAGTTATGTTGGAAAGTGGGTTTTCTTTCTTCTTGGATTTAGTATTTTGCCTCTTGATCAATTGAATTGTCAAGGCAATTTTATATTATAACTTTATTTCAGGATTACCAATGTCATTTCTATAATTTGTTATCAATTTAAAATCTTAAGAGTGTTTTTTTTTTTGTTTGTTTGTTTTTTTGTACTAGAGGCCCAGTGCACAGATTTGTGCATTGGTGGAGTTCCTTGGCCTGGCCTGCGGGGATCCGGCTGGAACCTGCTCTCTGACATCTCATGAGGGGTCCCAGATTGTGAGAGGGCGCAGGCCACGCCGAGGGACACCACTGGTGCACCAAGCCTCTAGTGTGCATATAATATCCTTTGTTAATCTCTTCCCATTCTCCCTTCCCCCCTTTTCCCTCTGAGATTCATCCGTCTGTTCCATGTGTCCATACTGTGGTTTCTGCTCCTGCTTTTGTGTTGAGCGTCTGCCCCCTAGTGGTCAGTGCTACTGGTTGGATGGTTGGCTGGTTGCTTAGGGTTTTATATATATATATAGAGAGAGAGAGAGAGAGAGAGAGATTATCAGAATGGTCTTATCCCATCAGTGAAACATTTAAAATATAACAGAAACTTACTTAACATGATCCTATTTAGTGGCAGATCTTCTTAGAATTTTTTAAGGAACTACCCATTTTGAAATTGTTTAAATTAAAGTACCTGTGTACCAACATTTAGAATATTTTACTTTCATTGAGCAGCTAAGTAGAATTGTTAATATATTAGAAAATATAATTTTAAGGCTATTGTTTAATATTCTTATTAACTTCATAGTACATGGGTATTTAAAATTTGAAGTTAGCTTGAGGACAAACACCTGTTTTAAAGATTTTTTTTTCCTCTTATGATTTCACCCTGCAATTACACCCTGAAACATTTGCGGAAAAGAAGTGTTTTATGTTAGAAGGTGTCAGAACTATCATTTTTTATTGCTTTTTAATGAACTGATCCTTTATCTTTCAGAGCAGTCCATACAGTAGATTTTACAGCTGACAAATATCATGTGGTCTCTGGGGCTGATGATTATACAGTTAAATTATGGGATATTCCAAACTCCAAAGAAATTCTGACTTTCAAAGAACATTCTGATTATGTGAGGTGTGGATGTGCTAGCAGGCTGAACCCAGATCTCTTTGTAACAGGTTGGTAAACTCGCTCCCCGTCCCCGCTTCCCCCAAAGTTGATAACTGTGCTAGACTTTAATATGCTTTGGGATTTTTTTTTGGATAGAGGAGTTTAAACATTTTTTAATAAACATATGTTTTTGTTTTCTAGTTGTTTTCTTTTTCTTTTTTCTTTTTGGTGATTGTTCTTCCTGTCCTCCAAATATACTTGGAAACATCAGGCTGCCTTGAAAACATAAAACAATTAGAACTGTAATGGGTTTAGCATTCTGATTTCAGAGTGTCCAGCAGCTGGGAAACAAGACAATGCAGTCAGTCTTTGGGTGCCTGTGCAGAGATTCCCAGATGACTCAGTAGTGACAGAAGCCTGGAGATGGGAGTAGTTTAAGATTCTGCATAATATAATGTCATGCTTCTTCAGAAACAGTCAGTGGTACCAAAGAGTTTAGAGATACTATATCTTTATGAATTTACATATGACTCTTTAAAAATTGCATCTAAGCTTTTTTCCATTTATATATTTACTATTTATTTTAATATGTTTTTATTGATTTTTTTTTAGAGAGGAAGGGAGAGGGAGAGAGATAGAAACATCAATGAGAGAGAAACAACATTGAGTGTCTGTCTTCTACACAACGCCCAATGCGGATGAAGCCCAAAACCCGGGCGTGTGCCCTGACTAGGAATCGAACTTGTGACCTCTTGGTGCATGGGTAGACGCTCAACCACTGAGTAACACTAGTGGGGCTAAGCTTTTCTCCTTTAAAATTTTACGTTTGAATATACATATATGCACACACACTCACACACACACAAAATATAGTTTTTGTTGTTTTGAATAGTGAAACTCACATAATAAAAATTGATATCCTAGGGTCATATGATCATACTGTGAAGATGTTTGATACACGAACAAACAAGAGTGTTGTCTCGGTAGACCATGGTCAGCCAGTGGAAAGTGTCCTGCTTTTTCCCTCTGGAGGTCTTCTGGTATCAGCAGGTATTTCTTTTAAAAATTGCTTTCACTAGTATGTTGGTCTTGAATCAAATAATTTCTTATCAGTTACTTTTTAAAATTTATCAGTGTGCACTTTTGCCTATATATGTGTGTTTGCTTAAACATTTGATAAGTGGGACAGGCAAGCAGTTATCACTTATTGAGTACCTATGTGAACCAGATATTGTGCTATTTTCTCTGATGCCCTAGGTGAGCCGACAAGGTAGGTAGTTTTCTCTCTGTTTTACAACTGAGAAAATAAATAAAAGTTTTAAATAATTTGTCCAAGGCAAAGTGGTAAATATATCTGAAATCCTAGAACTTGAGAGCTTGCTTACGTCCTTAACCCAGAAATCCAGGTTGTACAGCTGCTGTTATTCTCACACAAGAGATCCATGGCAGTTTTTGAAAACACAGTTTCTTTCAGATCTAGAATCAGGCTTGTCTTTTTCTTCTGACTCGATGAAATGGCCTTACCCAGGAAATAGCTCCAATCTTGGAGGAGGAGGTAATGTGAGGTCAAAAGAGGCCTTGCTACATTTTTCTTCGAGGGTGGAACTGAAGTGTTCTTATGTTGATCATAGTGCATTCTCAAAATTATAATGGAAGAAGTGAATTGGCTGTTTTCATTTGTCAAAGCAAAATTAATGTGTTGACCTTGGAAGCATACATAGATAGTATGGGTACTTTATAGCATATTAGAAAAGGGCTATGTGTAGCCTTTTAAAAAAATTCTGAAATTATCCTGTTTTATACTCCCTAGTACCTATTTGATTAAAAAAAAAGAAAAGTTGATGACATTGCCAGACGTATTTATTTGTCTTGCTATTGTTTTGAGAAACGAAAAGTTTAAGATGAGAAGTATGATAGGTACGGTACCTGTATACTAATTACTGTGTCACTAGTTATGTCACCTTGATCAATTCCTTAACTTCTGTCGATCTTGAAAAGGAGAGGTTAGGCTCGATCAGTGGTTTCAAACTGTAATCTCTGTCATGAGCTGCCACATGTGAAGAGGCAGGACCGTGGATTGGGTTCCAGGCTCTCTTGCCCAGTCAGGATAGGTAAGAAATTTGGTCCCCCCGTCCACAGCCCCTTTTCTATTTTATCTCAGACTTCTGCTTAAGATTTTATTAAGATGCTGCTTTAAAAAATTATTTTTTAACCACTGGATTAAATTGTGTTTTAGGTTCTTTCCAACTCTTAAAGTAAGAAAAAGTTATAGGGAAGTTTTTCAGTTACATTGGGGTTCGAACGTTTTTTGGAAATAAAATCTGCATTATTTACATGGTATTACAACATTTCTTTTGAAGAATGTTTTATTATAATTTTGTTAAAATCTTAATAGTTTTACTTTTTATTTTACCAGGTAGTTTTGTGTATTTTAAAAATAAGAAATTACGTAGTTGTCATAACAGGTCTGCGAGGTAGGAGCAGTCGTCATCAGGCACACACCCAGCGAAAGGTTCCAGCTTTGGAACCAGGCACTCTGGCTCTGGAAGCCCTCACTTAACCTCTGTGCTGTGGAGTGTCCAGTGAAGAATGCTCTTCAGGTCTTAAATTTTTTAATCTATAGGCGAATATCAAACTAATGATTATTTCTTTTTATAGGAGGCCGTTATGTTAAAGTCTGGGACATGCTAAAAGGAGGACAGTTGCTAGTGTCTTTGAAAAATCATCATAAAACTGTGACGTGTTTATGCCTGAGCAGCTCTGGACAGCGGTTACTCTCTGGTTCACTGGATAGGTTAGCGTTTTCATTTTCTTTCTTCATCATTATTAGTATTCTAGAGGCCTGGTACATGAAAATCATGCCCGGGGGGGTTGGGGGGAGGGGTCCCTCAGCCTAGCCTGCACTCTCTCACAGTTTGGGAGCCCTCAGGGGATGTCCAGTTGACCTTAGGCCCGCTCCCCGTCAGTCAGATGTCCTTAGTACTACCGTGGAGGCGGGAGAGGCTCCCACCATCTCCACTGCGCTCGCCAGCCGTGACCCCGGCTTCTGGCTGAGCTGCGCTCCCCCTGTGGGAGTGCACTGACCACCAGGGGGCAGCTCCTGCGGTGAGTGTCTTCCCCCTGGTTGTCGTGTGCATCATAGTGACTAGTTGTTCTGCTGTTTGGTCAATTTGCATATTAGCCTTTTATTATATAGGATAAGTACTTACTGCTGGAAATGAGTTGTTTCTGCAGTTTTTGTGATAAATATTCTGCCAAATGATTTCCATGAAAAAAATTCTGTTGAGTTTAAAAGTTTTGACCTTTTATTTGCATATAGAAAACTGATGTAGTTTATTGCTTTAACTTATATAATTAAGGAATTTTTATTCTCATCTGAGGATAATATTTTTTAATTGACTTTAAAGAGAGAGGAAGGGAAAGAGGGAGGGAGGGGGAGAGAGAGAGAGAAAGAGAAAGAGAGAGAGAGGAGAGAGAGAGATGAGAGAGAAGCATTGATCCGTTGCCTCCTGTACTCACCCTGACCAGTACTGGAACCCGAGACCCTTCAGTGCACTGGATGACGCTCCAACCGAGCCACAGCAGCCAAGGCATACTTAAGGACTTTTACTGAGCCATTCAAACATTGGTCTTTTAAAACAATCTTATTCTGTAGTTTCTTTTAAAATCATTATGGTATATTTGTATATTTCAAACAGTTATAATGAGTATGTATAGGTATGTATTCTAGTTTATATTTAAAATTTAAAACTTCATGTAAAAATTTATATATATTAATGTAGTTCAATTTTACTATTTTAAATAGGTATTAGTATTCCATTAGTTAATGTTCTGGAACAATGCTGTCTAGTAGAAATATAATATGAGCTTACATATGTCATTTAAAATGTCATAGTAGCCACATTAAAGAGGTAACAAGAACTAGGTAAAGTTAATTTAACTAGGTAAAATTCATTTAATTCACTGTATCTAAAATATTATTTCAATATGTAATCACTATAAAAATTAATGAGACACTAGAAACAATTTTAGCATGTAATACATGCCCTCCAATAACAGTGTTTAATAGTGATTAGAGTGAAACATACTGGTGTTTAACAGAAAAATATTTTTATACTGCTGCAATTTTAAAATTTAAATTAATTAAAATTAAGTAAAAAAAAAAAATTCAGTTCTTCATTTTCACTAGTCACATTTCAAGAGCTTAGTAGCCACATGTGAACTACAGCACAGTTCTAGAATTATATTCCTCTGTTGTTGGTCATTTTTAATTCCTCCCCCATTATGTAAAGCCCTCCCCCCTCAGTCTGTTTATTAAAAAGTATTCATTTTAAAGCTAGAAAATACTTCTAATACAAAGGAATTTATTGTGTATAGCAGATTCTCTCTAATGGTGTTAGTAGGCAACTTGGGACTAAAAGCTAGATAACTTGGCTCTGTCTGCAGTAGTTCTTGACCCATAGTGATTTTTGTCCTTCGGGATATTTGGCAATATCTGAGGATATTTTGTTTTTTGTCACAACTTGGGTCAGAGTGCTGCTGGCATAGAGTGAGTAGAGGCCATGCAATCACAGAGCAGGCCCCCTCCCCCCAACAAAAACTTATCTGGCCCAAAATGTTAATGTTGCTAAAGTTGAGAAAGCTTGCTCTTTTGCACTTTCATTAATACTTGTTCTTCACTCTCATTTTATCTTCAGGCAACAGTGGTTCGTGGTCTATCCTTCTAGTGGCCAGTCTTTATACAAACGTATGGCTAGTCCTAATAAATACTTCTTTTTAAAAGAGAGGATTCAGTGATGAATTAGTTTGTAATTAATATTACTAATTATTGTTTATCTTCATTGTATAAATTTTAATATTCACATATTGAATTTTCCAAAAAATGGAAAATTTTATACTCATTTTCAAGATATTTTTATGACAGACCTTTCTTTTTTATTAGGAAGGTGAAAGTATATAGCACAACTTCCTACAAAGTAGTCCACAGTTTTGATTATGCAGCTTCAATTTTGAGTCTTGCACTTGCAGTAAGTACTTTTAGTTTCTTTTAAAGCTTCCTCTAACCTTGCCTGTTACATGAAACTAAAATGAAATAGTAGGGTTTATCTTTGTATTCGAATAAATCTTATTTTCTTTTTGTCACATTAGAGTATTGAATTAAGACAATTACTAGAATATATGACTTGCCCCAGTAACTTAGCATGCTTTCAGATTTAGGTCCCACACACTGCATAGCTACAAACCAAGTGCAGTCCTATAAGTTGATAAAACTCTTCAAAACATTTAACTCAAGGGTTGGCTCTCTGAGGGGGTAAAAAAAATCGAGGGGTAGGGACCGTGGAGGAAAGAGGACAACAAAATAAAGTATCTCCTTTCCTTTGTTGACTGCTCTTTCTGGAATGTTCACTGTCCAGTTTCACGAGCTATTGAGGAGGAGAATATTTGAATACATTCTATTGAAATCTAAATTGGGAGAGGAAAACTAAATATTTTCTTGGCAATAGTAGAAAAATCATGTCATTACATAATCCCTTTTTTCTAGTAAGAGGATGCAGAAAAAAATATTTTGGAGTTTTCCAAGATGTCATTGACTGCATATTATTATACAAACTGCCAATGATGATTTATAGCAGGTATAAGTTCTGTCCATATAATAGTATCCTAGAGGAGAAAATGATTTTGATCCAAATTTTTGCATAGATATGTTAGGCAGAATATCTATAGCTGAATGGAACTCTTGGTGAAAGTATGGATAAGCAGCAAATACATTATAAATTTGTATGGTAATTTATGAGTTAGGAATAGATTAACCTATTTTTTGTAATTGCTGTTAGCATGAAGATGAGACAATAGTTGTAGGAATGACCAATGGAATACTGAGTGTTAAACATCGGAAATCTGAAGCAAAGAAGGATTCTCTTCCCAGAAGAAGAAGACCTGCATATCGAACTTTTATTAAAGGGAAAAATTATATGAAGCAAAAGGTATTTTAAAAAAAAAATATATATATATTTATTGATTTTAGAGAGGAAGGGAGAGGGAGAGAGAGAGAAACATTGATGATGAGAGAGAATCATTGGTCTCCTGCACCCCCCCCTACTGGGATTGAGCCTGCAATCCAGGCATGTGCCCTTAACCAGAATTGAACCTGGGACTTTTTAGTCCTCAGGCCGACACTCTATCCACTGAGCCAAACTGGCTAGGGCAAAAGGTATTTTTAAAAAAACGATATATATATATATATATCCTTTATTTATTTTTTTTTTAAGGAGAAATTTGTTAGAGTAGCAAATTCCCTGCACATTACTGGGAAGTATAGTTTACATGGCATTTAACTTTATTTTGATTTTTTTCTATATCAAATTTATCTCTAGATTGCTAGATTGGGGACCTTACTAATAAGTAATGGGGAATAAGGACTACTTTATTTAATACCCATAATCATAACAGTGCTGTAATACTTTACCATATTCAGAGTGATGTTTCTCACATGCCATCTGATGTGATCTTCTGAACGGCCCTGAGAAGTTGTAGAGTCAGTAACGTCCCCCTTTGGCATCTGAGAGGATGGGAAGTTATAAATTGTCCAGAATTTCATTTGAATCATAATTGACTGGATCAAGTTGACTGAATCATAATTTCTCTAAATCTTTTTTTTCCTTTCTACTAAATCATATTGCTTGACATGTAAAGAGAATTGAAATCAGTAACGTTTTCCCAGAGTGGAGGTGTTGTGTATGCATTGTAACTTAAAATCATAGGAGAGTAAGAGCACATTGATGTGACAAATTATTCCGTTTTCATTTTATCTATATTATAGGTATGGGATCATTATTCATGAATAGTTTAGGAATGCCATGGTATAAAAATACCACTACAAACAAGTTTTTTTTTATACAGGTGTTGATTTTTCTCTATAAATTTACTTTTCAATACAGGATGACATTTTGATCAACAGACCGTCAAAAAAACACCTAGAATTGTATGACAGGGATCTGAAAAATTTCCGGATTTCCAAAGCACTTGACAGAGTCCTTGAGGTGAGTGAGCAGTGAGTGTGTGTGTGTGTGTGTGTGTAAAATTCTTTTTATTAAGACTTTCTTTTTTAAGAGAAGATTGAGGTTCAAAGCCAAACTGAAGGGAAGGTACAGAGATTTCCCATATAGCCCTTGCCTCCACACTTGCACAGCTTCCTCCATTAACAACATTCCCTACCAGAACGGTGCATTTATTACAATTGATGAACTATAGGGAGCATATTTTTAAAGGAATCATTTTATTACTTGTCTTGTGCAGTACCATAACTCAAAACTGTGAAGATGAAATTTAAGTTTGGCAATTATTAGTAAGTTCCAAGACTGTAATTTCTCTTGTGCTGTCTTGTCTGCTCATGTTGACTCTGAAAATTTTTCTAGCCCAGTTGTACAATAAAGACACCTGAGATTACAGTTTCCATCATAAAGGAACTCAATCGAAGAGGAGTTCTTGCAAATGCCCTTGCAGGTCGGGATGAAAAGGAAATCAGTCGTGTTCTTAATTTTTTGATAAGGTATGTTTCATATCTCTGGAACACATGTATTTTTACATCTAAAATCCTTTATCCCCAAATGAGAGACATTTACTTTTAATGCGATCTTTGTAGAGAACTGATAGAACAACTCAAATCAATGTTAAGATTTTTTTTCAAGTTTGCAAGTTTCAGTAAACAATTTTTGCTTTGTAGGAATCTGTCTCAGCCGAGATTTGCTTCTGTTTTGATCAATGCTGCTGAAATAGTTATTGGTAAGTAATTGTTAAAACTCAAAAAATCCTAGCATGCTTGTAAAAGTGAGATGTCAAAATATGAAATAAAATTTGGAACTCAAATAAAAATATGTTTTTATCAATTAAAAAATATATATTTTATTGATTTTTTTACATAGAAGAAAGGAGAGGGATAGAGAGTTAGAAATATTGATGAGAGAGAAACATTGATTAAGCTGCCTCCTGCACACTCCCTACTGGTACATGCAACCAAGGTACATGCCTTTGACCGGAATCGAACCTGGGACCTTCAGTCCGCAGGCTGATGCTATATCCACTGAGCCAAACCAGTTAGGGGATAAATTTTTGATTGAAGATTTTTATGGAGAAAACAAACAACAGTAAATCAATGCATTGTAAAATGGAGTAAAATGTTTACAGTGCTTCAATTTTGAATTGCTGTTATTAGGGTTATGATAAAAAACAAAACAAAACAAAAAAAAAAACTTTTTTCTTAAACATCTATAGTGACCGTGACTATTTTTTAATGAGGAAATGAAAATAAGTCAGAACTTCCATGCTCTACTTTTTTTGTTGTTAATCCTCACCTGAGGATATTTTGCCATTGATTTTTAGAGAGAGTGGAAAGGAGGGGGAGAGACACAGAGATAGAAACATTGATGTGAAAGAGACACATCAATTGGTTGCTTCCCATATAAGTCCCAACCAGGGCCAGGAGTCAAGCCTGCAACTGAGACACGTGCTCTTGTCCAGAATTTTACCTTCAGTTTGCATTCCGCAGGCCGACGTTCTTTCCACTGAGCCAAATCGGCTAGGGCTTCATGCTCTGCTTTTTATAACTGCTTCTTTTTTGAAATATATTTATTCAGATAAATTGTTTACTTCCTGTAAATCATAAGTTATAAAATAAGTACAGGTATTTCAGTGCCTTTGCATATAATATTTTTATGCTTTTCCTAAATATTATTGTTAATTTATTGTTTAGAAAGATATTTCTAGTTAATTGTGTTTTCTCTCTCTGTTTCTAGATATATATCTGCCGGTAATTGGTCAGTCACCTGTAGTTGATAAAAAGTTTTTGTTACTTCAAGGACTTGTAGAAAAAGAGATTGATTACCAAAAAGAACTACTAGAAACCATGGGGATGATGGATATGCTTTTTGCTACCATGACAAGGAAAGAAAGCACTGCTGCTTCTGACGGACTTCTGGAGAACAAGAGGATAGAGTCCTAGTGCCTGCTTCATAAGACACAGAACTGCTAATGGGATAGAATTGATTTTATTAACTATTGGAAAGAGAATCTCTCTGACACGATAAAAAAAAACAAAACTATTTACAGAATCAGATTTATGGAAGAGACTGGCAAAGCTATGATTGGAGAATAACTATGGTTTGTGACATGTTTTTCCATGTAATAGTTTGAATTATTTCGTGGCATCTTTGGCTAGAAGATCTCAGTTGTCTTTTTCATAATTCACCTTTGGACAAGTTGATACTGGTTTTCATGCAGCAAAGTTCTGTACAGCAGTTGGATAGGCATTCAGAACTGTGGAGATAGCTTCAAATGGAATCATTCCAAAGACACAGGGTCTTATTTATTTTTTTACCCATTCCTGGAAAAATTGAAACAAATGGCAGCAACAAATAAATTATTTCTTTAATCAGTGCCCTTGGTTTTTCCAGGCCCTGCTGAGCTTGCCACCTTCTTCTTGACATCACTTATCACAGGTCAGATGCTCTCCTTTAGCTGCTAATAGGCCTGGAGCTGTTCCAGGCGGGCAAATTAGTGGCCAACTCTGAATAATGACACTTATTTAGACATGCATTCAGAGAGGGCGATGAGGCAAAGTCAGTACCTAGAAATTGTGCTCTCCACCCCAGGTTTTTATTTTGATTTTTTTAATCTTGACTGCCCTTATCAGAGCAAGGTCTACAGAGAGGCCTTATTAGGACCATGTTTTTACTAATTCCCCTTAGTAGGCAGCCTTTTTACCAAGTTTTCAACTTGCTTCAGGTCAGCGGAATGAGAAAACTTGCCATTTCTCTTAAATAGTCTTTCAGCCTTTTATATGTTTGAAATTTATATTGTAGCTACCTAAGTGTCTGGAAATCATTTTCTCCCATCTGTATTTGGATTTTTTTGTTCTTAAATAATGCTTTATTGTTGGAAGTATTACACGTCTCCCTTTTTTCCCCATTGACCCCTCCAGCCTATCCCTGTCTCCACCTTAGGCCTTCATCACCCTATTGTCTGTGTCCATGGGTTATTGGATTTTTTTCTTTACACAGTCATACGTTTCAGAACTCCAAGCCAAAGTAGCTTGCTTTGGAAAATAGCTGTATGTTTTTAAAGTTCAGTATAAATCACATTTTAAAATAAAGAGATTCTTATTTTTTTTCCTTGGCTTTCTGAGATGTATCAATTCCTGATGGAGAGTCACTGGTTGTTTTCACACTTGCTACCTTTCCCACCTTACACCAATTCCTGTCCCACCTCAAGTAGTTAATTATCTGTAAGGAAGTACGCCTTGGGCTAGAAGAACCTTCAGTTAAAGGAAGATTTTGTAATGGGAATCTCCTCTTAAAATTCAGTTCTGGGAATTTAGGTTTTTATTTTATTTAAAGCAGAAGAAAGTATTTCTGTGTTCTGGTAAGGGAATATGCTCAAAAAAGGGTCTAGTTTCCCTTTAAGCAGTCACATAACACAATAGCGTATAAGAAACCAGGAGTTTGCTTCCGTGAGTAATTATGAGATCAGTCAAAGTCAGAAACTATTCATGTTGAAAAGGGTTCATTTATATAAATAAATTTGTATTTAAAAGCTTTTTTAAAAAATTGAACTTCATAAGTGTATATACTAATAAAAATTAGAAGTTGAAATTCTATCTAAAACTAGTTGCCATCAAGTGTCTAACATGTGACAAGGGTTTCCCATACATCCTTTGATTTTCACGACACCCATTTAAGCTTGATGTTCTCATTGAACATTGAATTCACCAAGCGTGAGGTCCTCATCATCCAGCACTCTAAACTGGTCTGCCTGTTGCGGCTGAGAGTCCTTACTTGAATGGAACTCCACTGAGAGTTGCCGTTTTAGATGCTGTTCTGCATTTCAATTGCTCCATATCAGTACATATAACTCAGCTTCATTCCTTTTAAGGCTGGCCTCCTATATCACTGTATAGATGTGCCATAATCAGTTTAACCAGTTTCCTATCAATAGGCAATTGGATAGTTTATATTTTATAGTCATAAGCAATTCTGCACCGAGCAAGCTTTCATATACATTTTTTTGTGTATTTTGAGGAGTGTTTGCTGGGATAAATCAATATGAATTCTGATTCTAGGGAGTGAGTCTATTTCCACCTCAAAGTCTGGTAACGTCTAATTCCTGCTGCTCATCACCTGAGGAAAGGCCATCTGCCTTTCCACTCAGTCTGTAGGCACCAGTGTCACTGCCCAGATGTATTCCATGAAGATCCTCTCAGACAGGGTACTTTGTATTCCACAAGATACTTAATTATAGGCAGAGGATACTATTTTTCCCACTGCATGTGGTGACATAGAAGTGACGAAGTTTAGGTGACTTGTCCAAAATCATGCAGGTTAGTGACAGGTCGGGAGTTTGAACTCAGGCAGTCTGAGTATATATTCTCAACCACTCCAGGAATAGTATCTCATTCTAGAACCATGGAATACGTCCTTACTCCTCTTCATATTGCCTTTTCACAATTCAAAGTTGGTGCTTAATAAACGTGCTGAATGAACAAATAAAACGAACAAATTTATTGAATCCAGCTTGGCAATTCACATGAAAACAATAGTTTTGTGTATGAGCTGAGATTATCATTTTTCTGAGAACTATAACTCAATATTTCTGGACACATTTCTTAGAAAATTTTAATCTAATGAAACTGAAACCATGCATTAGGACAACTTACCTTAGCTCACCACGAGGTGGCAGTATTATTTTGAAAATTAAGATAAACCCCTTCTGCGCCTTTTATATAAATCAAGTTGGTCTTCCTAAATAAAGATTAAGGTAAGTTCTCCTAGAACACAATCAAGATATTTGGTTATTGCTATGTTGATAAAGTGGGTTCAAAAACCATTTATAATTATTAGATGCTAATCAGAAACTTGGCATAAATCTCACCACGGCCCTCTTAAAATGAAAGACTAAACTTTTCAACTATGTAGAATAATGGAAAGAACATGTGATTTATGTTCCAGGGCAAAACATAGATGCTCTGGGTCTCAGCTTTCATATCTGCCAAATGGGCTAATTCACCTCCTTTGCAGGATTATTGTGAAAATAAATGCAATAATATAAGTGTCTTACCTGCCTTTCTGTATTTCTCACATGTCTGTGATTATGGAAAGTCTACTTGTCCTACCCCAGTTGGGAGATTTTTCTTAGTTTCCCTGATGATTAACATCATTTGAATCAGTTAAATAAGAGTTGAGTTAAATTTTTCTTTTATATAAATGATGTTCTTAAACAAATCAGATAAGCCATAACATGAGGGTTGTAACTGACTTGAGACAGACTGTTTACAAACATTTTGAAAGTAAATGGTATGATTTGCAACGTACACAAATATGTTAACCACTTACTCATGAAAGTAAGATGTCAATTCTCATGGAATCATTAGTGTTGTAGTAGAAGTTGCAAATAGAATAAGTATGTTTGAAGAATTGTTTGTCTTTAAGCATACTTATTGATGCAGATTTCCCTTTATTGAAGTTAACTATATTAACTGTGTGATGACTTACATTATTGACCAGAAGGTTAAAAATATAAACACTAATTTTTTGAGAGTTGCTAATTCTCTATAGACATTACTATAAGAACATTGGATTCATAAGTATTTTCTCAAGGTTGTTAAAAATATAGAGAGATAATTGATAAGACAACCTTCTATTAGTAAAGTGCTACCAGGGCAAGGAAACCATCATCCCTGCATCAGAGGCACTTTCCTCAGAGGAAACAAGTGAAACACAGCCGTGAGATTTTTTTTCTTTTATTATTGTTCACTTTGGAATAAAAGATTTTGAAGCTTGCCTGCCTAACTCATTCTTATCTTCCAATGGGTAAAGATCTAGGTAGAAACAAAGAATTGAAAAAGGAGAAAGTAGATAATTGCAGTAAGTTTACTGACAGTAGCATATTTTAATTTCCTTATTCTATAATTTTTAAGAGAATACGAAGAGTTTATACATATGGTTTTCTAACATAAGATCTTTATTCATAAACTTAAACATAATCTAGTAGTTTTATTTATTTATTTGGGAGGAAATTACAAGTTATTTACGATAGTGTAAGTCAGTACATTATTGATGATGGTCAACTTGTAAGGAGGATTCTGTAAAATCCTGCCTAGCAATACAAGGATGATCAAAACTGGGAAATATGGACAATAATAATAATGATGGCCAAATCAAATAATACGATTACTAAGACACTGTTCTTACCAATGTACATATATTAACTCAATCTTCACAATCACTTGGGTAGGTACTATTACTATCTCCATCAAAATTACTTTTTTCGAAACCGGTTTGGCTCAGTGGATAGAGCGTTGGTCTGCGGACTGAAAGGTCCCAGGTTCGATTCCGGTCGAGGGCATGTACCTTGGTTTCGGGCACATCCCCGGTAGGGGGTATGCAGGAGGCAGCTGGTGGATGTTTCTCTCTCATTGACATTTCTAGCTCTCTATCCCTCTCCCTTCCTCTCTGTGGAAAATCAATAAAATATATTTTAAGCCGAAACCGGTTTGGCTCAGTGGTAGAGCGTCGGTCTGGGGACTGAAAGGTCCCGGGTTCGATTCTGGTCAAGGGCATGTACGTTGGTTGCGGGCACCTCCCCTGTAGGGAGTGTGCAAGAGGCAGCTGGTCGATGTTTCTCTCTCATCGACGTTTCTAGCTCTCTATCTCTCTCCCTTCCTCTCTGTAAAACATCAATAAAATATATTTAAAAAAACAAAACAAAAAAAAACACAAAATTACTTTTTTGCAAATACGTATTTCTATACTGTGTAAAATTAGTACAGATTAAAAAGTTAGAAACAAGGTGGTAACTGGGAAGTGGTGAATGCATTAGTTTGGTCGTTGTCATCATTTCATTGTATATGTACATCAAATCATCTTGTTGTCCACTTAAAATATATATAATTTTTATTTGTCAATGATACCTGAGTAAAGCTGGAAAGAAAAGATGGGCCACTTAAAA